GCGCTTCGCGACTGACTGTCATTCTTCGAGACAATAAGTGAAGGGCACCCTTTAAAAGCACACACAACCAACAATTCCTCTATTCGCTCCGACGAAGGGCTAACGCTCGAAACGTCAGCTTTTGTAATCGTTACGGTGGCCAATTTACTATTTCAACTAAGTTGATATTTAACAATTATTCCACGAGCGCGCATTGGATATGAGATGATAGATAGCCAACGAGGCGCGTAGCGCCGAGTTGGGTATAATCATCTCATATCCAACAAGCGCGAGTGGAATAATTCTTTTATTAAAAATGTTAAATTAAATTATTAAATTTTATCAAATTTTTAGCTCCCTTTTAATTTTAAGCTGACACGTACGCTTGCCATATTTGTAGATTATGGTATATTGGCTGATATACCATAATGGCTAAGCCAATAAAAAGTCTTCAATTGCATTATCCAATGATCTAGTTTTTAATAAATCCAAATTATCACGTGTATTCGTTTGCTTTTAGTTGACTAGCTAGCTTGTGTGAAATTACGCATTAAAACTAGTTCAAAACAACAGGTAGATCACGTGGACGCTATTTTTCTTGGTGTATCATCTAATACAGTAGCACGCTAACCCGCGGTGCGAAACAGACACTCATTCACTCACTCAGATCGACAACAATATAGTTAGGCCTACATATAGGCACTAGCCATTAAAAAACGGTGACGTCATATCCAGTGCGTGCGTGAGCATTTCCGGAAAAGCGGGAAAGGGTCCTGATATGACGTAACGCTGAAAAGTTTGAAATCCGAGACATGTTCAATACTATTACCATGTAAGTTGACGTCTATTAAGGTAGTAAGGTAATTTGGTGATATCGAATGAGTTGAAATTGTAAATTGGCCACCGTAAAGAGTTAAAAAGCTGACGTTTCGAGCGTTAGCCCTTCGTCAGTCTATTGAGGTAGATACGACAAGGTTTTGTAGACGTTTAATTTCCCTGTTACCAGTATGGACTTTTGAGAGTTAATTTAACAACTTGACCACAATTTTCCATTGTCTATTCGACAAGTAGATTTCGTGTTGCCGTGTATCTCGAGTGTGTCCGTCCATTTATAGATTACAGATGACGTCAAAATGCGAGAAGAACAAAAAATTGGCCTCTATACCTGGCGTGCCTCTGATGTTCCTACCATATTTCTGATTTTTTTTACCTCACCTATGATCCATTACTGACTGAGACGCACGGCAACATGCATTTGGAATCTTTGTCAGTTTTCTTTGATAAAATAGGAAAATAATGTTAATGGCGACGTCGTCTGAGCATCCGTTCTCCAATAGATCAAAAGTAAGACCAAGAAAAAATAATGAGACAGAGAGGGAAAACTCAAGGTGTCGGCCGAGACATGCCGATTCCACTAAAGTTACTTTTAGCTTGGGGTGGAAAGCATTGTGGCACAGTCGAGTGCATCACTTTTTTTGTTCTTAGCACAATTTGACGTCATCTGTCAGCTATATATTACAGAACAGATGCATGGTAACATGGAATCTACTTTGATTAATTGATCATGGAAATGACGTCAACAATGTCAAAAACTTAAATGAAATCAAGAGGGAAATTAATGAGTAATACTGAGACGCAATAGGTGTAAAAATAACATTTATCACTCGAAGTGCTTTATCATTTAATGTCCACATTATAAATATGTTTCTCGTAACGTTCTTAGGTCCACATTTTGAATGGATATTTCAGTTAATGGTATGGGTGAGAATTTAAGTCTCTCCATATCGGAGTGAAGCTCCTTCTGTTCCAGATGGCCGACACGATCTACAGTTTTCGGATCATGGAGCAACCTCTTATGTGAGATTCGAAAAAGTGGGATGAGGAAAAGTAGAATGCAGCCAGAAGCGCTAAAAACGGACGCCGCAATAAAACTCAAAGGATACGAGTTAGTGGTGTCGTATATCCAACCTGAGGAAAGAACAAGGCACTTATGAGTTAACTACACCCATACGGTGGTACAGTGGAGGTTTCTTTTTACCACAATTGGCAGTTATGTCGCGATCTGATCGGCCAATCTACCGTTCTCGACAAGGGTACAGACAACATATCACGCAGCGTGTCACGCACTGAAAAAAATCGTTCTATTTGACGTCGATATTGTGGCAAAAAACAAATCAACAGTGGTTTAGTGTCGTCTGTACTCTCATCGACAACGACATTCGTCATCACAGTGGTCAAAATTTTTTGTGGGCACACTTAGCTACGTCTCGCGAGTCCACAGCATTTTACATTGAACACCTTACTGACGAACATCGTTGTCTATAAGAGTACAGACCAGGGCTAAACTGGTGCGCGCTTCCCTTGAAAGATTTCTTGATGTTCGACGGTAAAGAAAAGACTGAGTGCCAGTCAACTCCGTCTACCCCCGACAAACTGCCTTGACTTTTTCTCTCTGGGTTCAAATTAAATGGACATAAATTCTTAAGTTCCAGAGTGCAACAATAAATTCGACTTTCGTCTTGAAGAGCTCTTCTTCTCTCTCTTTTCTCAATGGTCTGATTCTTTCACCGCTGAGTTCAGAGACTTATGTGGATCTCAGCCATACAGGCCATAGATGATGGCTTGGACATCGATTGAAAAAAGATCTTTTCCGGTAAAATTGGCAGATCTCTGGTAATTTTTAGTCTCCCAAGCACTTACCAGCCAATGGAATTCCAGCGCAATAAGCGATACCAAGCACTGTGAACATGATCCCAACACCTCTGGAGGCCTGGTCTCTACCAACCAAGTCTTCGGCAACCACTGCTCTTAGTAACACAAAGCCGCTATCGAAAGCCCCGTATATGACCATCATCCCAATGAAACCATGGAAACTCCGTGCTGGCGATAGGAGAGACGTGGATATGGCGACCCCGATCATGGCAAACTGAAAAATCTCTACACGGTAACGTGAAAACTTGTCAGCAAGTTTGCCAGTAAAAAAGGAGAAAATACTGGATGATGCTGACCAGGCCATAAGCAAAAAGGCCCCTTTCTTTGGTGGCACTCCTAACTCCTTGGCAAACGCGGGCTGAAAACGTAAAAAACGAGTAGTTGATATCTTCTTTGGCATTTGACGATTAAGAGCTAGTGAAGAGCAATCCAGGTTCACTTTTACTTTAACCTCTTTCCCAGCCGTATTTTTTATCAGTTGCAGCAACCAGAAATTTGTTGTGACATCACGGGAAAACTGACCAATCAAATTACACGTAACTGACTTATACGATCCGACCGACAACAACTCTTCAGTTGACTCTAAGGGGTTATCTTCACCCACATGATATGACAACACGATCGAATGTTACCCCCGCTTTCAAACCATGATCTGGATTGCTACCCAGTGAGTAAGAGCGCTTCGCGACTGACTGTCATTCTTCGAGACAATAAGTGAAGGGCACCCCTCAGGATTACGTTCATGATTTNTTTATTCCAAATTGCACTCGAAATCACGTGATTACCTATACAAATTGCACTCCACTCGTGCCTCATTCTCCAGTACAAAATTCAAAAAAATACATTATCTCAAGCGAGGCCAGAAGGGCTAATTTAAATTTAAACAAAAGAATATTAATCCGGCAGCCATTTATGAAAGTGGTCTATTAGCCATCTCCTTAAAATGATCATTCCTTACTTACCACATATGAAGCAGGTATTAGGCAACCGCTGGCGTATAATCCTATCCCCAGCAAAAACACCAGGAACGATTTATCTTTTAGTAGGGTTCGATCGAATATTTTCTTGAACTGGATATCTCTCTTTCCTAAACTGACTGGTTCTGGTGGAGGACGATATGCAAGGGCAGAGACTGCAGTGACAGCAGCGATTCCCGCCATAATAATAAAGGTTGTGGAGAGTCCTGTAAGCGTCACTATATGCTGAATGAATGGCCCAAGGGCAATGGTACCACAATATGCGCCAGCACTACATATACCATTAACCAGCGCTAATTTCCTATGTTCAAGAAAAATTTGAAATCAGTTTTCGTTTAACTGGTTTGAACTGGCCTTTATATGATTTGAAGTCACTGCAATACCTTGATGTGGGATTTTATTCTCCAAAATACCGTTTTAAAGCAATTTAATTGAGTGTGTCGAAAGTGATCCGGGATTGCTTTGTTTTTGCTTTACTTCGTTATGTGATTGGTCCAGAAAACTCGCGCCACTTTCCCGACCGTTTAGACTCAAACTGTTTAAACCAATCGTGACTTATCATTCGCGTTTTCACGCGCTTCAGACAGCTTGCTTGTTTTTATTTCGATTTCTCATTGGTTAGTCATCATATTTTCCTTCCTATGACTGAATTTTCCTCGCACAACCCTTATATAACAGCAAAAAAAAACCAAAAAAACCGTATAACAAAATATAACCTCTCGAACCAGAGTGAGATGATTCTAAAAGTTGTAATGAAGGCCAACGAAGCCCCGATCCCAAATAAAACTCCATATGTCACAAATAACAGGTAGAGCTGAGTAACGAACGACGATGCCACCAGACCCGTCACGCAGACTAAGCCACCAACAAATCCCGTGATACGGCATCCCCAGAGGTCACAAGCGATGGTAACAAACGGAGCCACAGTGTATAGAGCGAACAGGTGAATAGAACCCACCCATGCTAGGAAAAAAAATAAAAGTAAAGTCTTTACTCGAGCCAGGTGGCCTATCCTGGCGTAGATTATCACGGTTTCCTTGTAGCATGAAGCGAAGTTTTACTTCTTCCCCCTCATTTTGGGTAAAAAAATTAATAAACCAGGGGGAAAAAATCCAACAAGTGAACACACACAAACAAAAATCCCCCCCCCTCCCTCCCTTAGCTCAAGGTCTGGATCCACCAATCAACCTCATTCCCAGGGCCTTTTCCCTTAGTTGGGGGTTAGTTAAACGCACAGAAATCGTGTATCACAGGCCATTGACTCTGCAAGCAGCTTATGACAGAAACATCATGAAGTGCACGAATATGAGGTAAGTTGGTAGTCAATAAGGTGATCGGCTGATCACAGAAGTAAAAATCTTATCATTAATAACCTATACAAATATACCGTAAAAGAGAGCCACTTTTACCAGGAAAATAATCCGCGACTTTCACAAGCAGCAGATTACACGCTAACTCATCCTATAAACGGTAAATTTCCAGGTCCACAAGTCCCGGCTTATATAAGGAGAGTTTTCTGGACGTCTTAATGAACGAAACTTACACTGCGCAAGTGCATTTTTTTTCTGCACTCTGATAGCGACATAAGACGCGAACTATCTAGCGGCGTATTTACGGCTACGTTGGTATAAATAGTCCAGTCGCATCTTATGTTAGCCGCGATTTATTTTCCTCGAGGAAACAGCCCTAATGTGCTCTTGTTTTGCCAAATCATTTATCCGTGTACCTGACGTGCCCTTTTTGCCCCCAAATTCATCCAGAATATAAACGTAGAGAATTCCAAAGCTGTTCTGTATTCCAGCCAGGACAAAGTGAACTGAAAAAGCTGATGCACAGACACACCAACCATATCCACCGTCCGGAGCTGACTTGAAAACAGACGAAGTATCCATTCGAGGAATCCTGGCAACGTTTGAAGGAACGTATTTAGAATTAGGGATACGGTAGACTTTCAAAGGCTACATTGTTTTTTCTTTTCTCGTCAAAATAAGCATTAATGTTGTAACTAAAGTTGTAAAACATTGAAACGTGCGCAAGTTTTTTTCGAACTGAAGAAATTTGACGAAGAAAAACGCAAAAAAATCTCACCAAAACGGATCAGAGCTTGTGGTTTAGGCAATCCTCGATAATTGTACCCGACCGTCAACGAGTTCTGCTGCGGTATAAAAAGACTTTTGAAATGGACATTTTGGGTCAGCGAGTGGAACTCGGGTCTGTTAGGGGCAGGATGCCTTTGCATTTCTATTGGCGGTCGGCATTAATTTTCCATTTTCAGAATATTCACATAACTTAACAGGTGGTCCCCCAGAGGTGAGATATGTTATGCAAACCCTTACGCAATGTGTCTCTTTTGTAAGAATCAACAGGATATAAAAACTTTACGGACTGCCTTGAAATTTTCTCCGAAGATTCCCAAGATACCTAACTAAGAAATCATGTGTGGGAATTGGTTTTTTTCGAAATAGATCTCCCGAAATGACCTCTGACGTAGCGCGTAACGGTAAAAATTTTGTTGGAAAACTTTACAAAAAAATTTCTTTGCATTTTTTTTCTCAAGTTTTCGAGGGGGGGGGGGAAGACGGGGGTAGGGTTGGAAGACTTTTGGGAGGATCACATGGTTTCAGGAGGAGAGAAGGGGGAATCAGTCGTCGCCAACGGAATAGAAATGGGAATTACAGAAAATTACCCTATTATGAGATAAAATTTTTTTCATGCTCAGAGCGCCAAACTGATAGAGGTTTCCGCTCGATAGATTTCCTCCGACGCATAATTTCACGGACGTGCAATTGATCTGTTCCACGAACTTCCTACCACTAGGGTAATGGGAATGCATGTAACGTTGGCTGGTCACGTTTTCACTACTGATTGACTATACTGGGGTTTGCAAATTTTGGGTTTAGAGGGGCAAGAAAATTCTAGTTAGCTTGGATTAAAAACATGGGAAGATTCGCATTTAAAAAGTTGTTATCGCATCACCAAAACGTAACTAAAATGGGGTCTACAACTGGCCACAGAATATATTTAATGGGGTAGGGGTGTTGAGTGTTGAGAGGCCAGTGGCACATAGAAGCAAAATGCCCCCCTCCCTCCCTCCGTAAACGCAAGAATGGTCTTAAAATAACTGAGGAGAA